AGGAGACGAGCTTGTTGGGCCACTGACCTGAATCACGTAATGAGAAAAACTGGTTTGATGCTCTTTTGTAAAAAATCCGTCCAGCTGCTGTTTGACAGCGTTTCTCATGAACAATCGATTCTGGTGACGTCAGAGCTGACCCGCCTGGTTGATCATTTTCTTAGACCGTCTGCTCAAATCTTTACGTTGCAGCACCAGCTCCTCCACAGCTCCTTCATTCGCTTTTTTGTTTGCAACCTCTCTGTATTTGTGTTTAATAGTCATAAATTCCTCCTGGCTGATCTGGTCGGTTGCTTCTGCCTTCGGACCGTCACACCTTCACTTAGTTACCATCTGTTAGACCCAATTAGGAGAACCCTCATTCAGCACTCTTATGTCGGGGCTTTGTGTCAAGTCCGAGCTGAATGTTCTTCTCTGTAATCTTTCGGTCTCTTAGCAGCGCATCGAGCTATCGAGTCAGTGTGTAAACATGTGGGGCTGTGTTGTTTCTGGAAGTGAATGCGTGGATGAAAATAGAAGCTGCACTCAGGCACATGAAGGGCCGTTCAACAGACTGCACATTTCCCATCGCGAGCCCAAGACTCACAAAGGCTCTAATCACGTAAAGAGGAGGAATTATACCAGAAAACAAGTCAGGCGGGCTTTTAGCTGCCGCTTATTATTTACTCAAATAGAAGGAACCGGAACTGTGCTCACACGAGAGGGGAGACATCAGATTGCAGAGTGGTGCCAGTAAGCGACGCGGCATGGCAGCGCCACGTGACGCAGCTTTAGATGCAGGTGGTTCAGCTTCACAGCCAAGTTGGACGTTCCCAGATCGGCACCTGGTGCCGCTCCCCATCTAGAGCCCAACGCAGCGCCACGATCAACATCCAAAACCGCAGACTGTGTCGGGGTGGATGGGGGGGGGGGGAGGCCCTCAACCACCGGGCCCGGCGCAGACCCACACCCAGCCGGGGATCTGCACTGCATGCTTTGGCAGCAAGTCATCCGGCTCGCCACTGCAGACACGCATCTGCACTCAGACGAGACCCTCCCTGCTCCCTCTGTTCGGCCTTTTAATCTCAGGGACACCCATTGCAGCCCATTAGAACACCGTGAGCAGTCCGGTGTGGTGAACGTATCTCAGAAAACATTCTTCTTTTAACCTTATATTAATAATGTTCAGGTTTAGTTTGTTTTCTTTGTTGTTGTTGTTGTTTTTTTCTTGGATGCTTGCGCCTCTGACTCCTATGGTAAGATAAGACCCACATCCGAGTGAATCATCACTTTGAATCATCATCTGTTGTGCTTCCCAAAGTTTTACGTCCCATCTGGGCCAAGACATTACAGCGAGCCAGACACTTGAAATTCCAGAAGACAGACACATAAAACTAAATGCTCGCGATGCTGAATGTAATATTAACTACAAAAGCAGGAGGAATAACTTAAACTCTAAGACCTGACAAGCTACTCGGTCCGTATTACCAAACTCCAGTGACGGTGAGGTACTCGCCATGTGTTGTGGTGACACAAATTAACCAAGGCTTTCTGAAGTTTTCAGCTTTGCCAGAGTTAATTTAGCATGACCGCCTTTAACCTCCATCAACTCTCATTGCACTGTGACACAGTTTGCCGTAATCCAGTGATGATGGCGGGATTTTTGCATGTTCCTGTTTTCAGACCTCCCATACTACTTATGCACAGTATCGGAATCTGGCTTTGCTTCTTCAGGTCCGTGTACGATTGCCGAAGTAATGTCCAGCTCAATTAAGGGGGTAAAACAGGCTGAAATATGAGGTTATCAAATGTATTCAATGTTTTATAGTACACGGTATTTTGCAAAAGTATTAAAACTTCAATCTTTTAAGTGGAGCTGGACAATAAATCAATCACAATATGTATTGCAGTAAACATATAAACAATACCAAACGTCAATGCCTTCTGGGGGATGTAGGTAAAGGAAAGACTTTAGCTGCTCAACCTCTCAAGGGTGAGCTCATCTGAGCTGGGGAACGTTTCTCACATGTTTGCAGTCTCCTCTACATGGATGGTGGAAAACGAGTCTTGTGTCTTTCTTTCAACAATTTCTCTTCCCTAGATTTCGGAAACTATTGGCATAGTTTCCCTGTTAACACATTCTCCTATCTTCAGTCAGTTGCACTGGATTTTATTTTGGGGTTTCATAATAAAGGGTACTGAATGCAAATCCACCCCACTGTTTCCAGAATTTTTTAAACAAGAAAACTGTATATTATTTTTCTTCTACTCCACAAATATATGCTACTCTGAGTTGCTGTGTCACCAACATTTTCAGTAAAATTCATTGACGTTTAAGGGATTTGGGGGGTTTTTACATTTAGTGATAATACATTTTTTACGCTGCAGTCTCTGTTCGTCTGGGCTGTGCAAGTTTGAGTTCTAGCTGTTGTACGTCGTTTTCTTTTTTTTTCTTCTTCTTCTCATGAGCAAAGTGTCTGATGTCGATATCAAAGCTGTGGGATGATGGATGAATCCAGAGTTCTGACATAAACCTGCAGCTTTTCTCTTTATATCGGCCCTTATCGTTTCAGCTGAGCGGTTTGGTGTCCAGCTTCACTGTTTTGATCCACGCTGTTGCTTCTGAGTTTCTCTCTCTCTCTTTTTTGAAAACCACATGCAGCTGTTTTTATTCCCCCCGAAAAGCAAAGCCTTATCACACTGAAGCCAAAGCTTTGCATACCAACTTTGCGTGAGTGGACTTGGCAGAAAGGGCCTGGTTTCATTCCCAGGTATTCTGTTTGCAGCTTATCATTTCGCCTTCGTTGTCTGCACTGTCACGATCAAATGCAGGCGTGTAGGTCCAACTTTCTTGAAGAAAGGCTCAGAGTGACACCACCTGCCGAGCCGTTCAGTTGGCAGCACGCCGGAGTCGCTTTAATGCAGGGTTTTTCAACACAGTCTGGAAAAGTATGTCATTTCATACAAGTAGCTTCCAAGTATGGAAAAAGAAAACACGGTACGGAAAATATTTGCGTTTCCAGACTTTATTCCATATCCCAGGGTGCAGCAATGTTATTAATTTAAGAGCCACTTTCCCCATGTTGCCGTTTTGGACTACAAAAAGTCACATTTTTATAAGTGTGTCTTAAATGAAGTGTTTTATCGCAAAAACTAGGGAAATTAACCTTTAAATTCTTTTGCCAAATTTTTGAACAAAATCAATCATTTAAGTTTTAGTAAGGGAATAATTATAATAATAATAATAATAAGAAGAAGAACTTTTCTATTTGTTAAATGAGGCAAGTTGAGTGATCCCTTTCATAAATATGAAGGATGAAAAAGGACAACTTGCCCACTTTAAAATCTTAAGCACTCAGATTGAACCTAAATAAACATCACATGGTATTTTATGCAGATAAAAACATACAAAGATCCCCCCTTTCTGACTGTCTTTACTATTAAAAACATGTATTTGTGTTACAAGAGCCACTGCAAGGGGGCCATAGAGCCAGCGATTGGTGCCACAACCACCTAATCTAAATGTGTTCATCTGTTTACCCAGCCGTACATGTTAGTGTGAAAAAATCTGTTTCTCCACATTGTTTCTTATCTTGTGAAAGTGTTTCATCGATCCTGAAACTGCTTTGGAAACCTGAAAATGTCAAGATCTCCAGATAAACTGTGATTTATTTTTTCAATTTAAAGCTGGGTAAAGAACCTTTACCACTGTAAGAGCCACTATGGTTGTGGCAATGCACAGCATAGTTGTATTTAAATCCTAAAAAAGGGGTGAATTTTTTTTTTTTTAAATGAAAACTTGCCATAAGCAGCACAAACACAGACGGTAAGCTTACAATACAACATAAAAGCTTGAAGTTTTACAGTTTTGCATTTTAATACGTAATCTAATTCACATCAAACAAAACTTCACAAACAGGATTGTTATATTTCAAATTAATACTTGCTTCCTGCCTCTGTGATTTAAGCTGACTGCTGATTATGTCACTGAGCTTGGAAAATTTAGTGGTCCGGTCGATAACGATCAGTCACAACATGTGAAATAGTCTGCTCATCTAAAAACAACAAGGTGCCTCAAAGTTCTCTGCACAGAAATTGTCAGCCGTCCGTGCGTCCACACACGCTTGCCCAGCCCATTGTGGACTCCTGGCTGTTCATCGGGGTTTGGTGCAGGTCTGGTGTTTTCACAATATGCTTGTGGCTGCATGTTTTATGATACATTTATTGCAAAACATCATTCATTTTAGACAGAAACTTCCATTGGATGCAGCAATTCTTAGAATGCAATCTGGATATTGACTGGTATTATTTTAGTCCCGGTAGTCTATACCTTTTGGGAGATGATTTCCATGATCTGAAGGTAGCCTGGCTTGTTTAGTGATTAACACAGAAGGGCATTTCCTTAATCCAGAAAATCTACTTTTTCTTTAGTGTTTTTTTTGGACACCCATGTGTTGGAGGAGGGCATCCTTCTCTCTGGCTTTTCGTCGTTCTGTCCTCATATTCCCCGTCTCGCTGTCTGTCATTTTCTTGTACTGTTTTTTTCTTGTGCCTCCCTCTGCTTTCTATTATCCCATCTTCTCTCTTGACATCTCTACTGTCTTTCTCTGGCTAATTTCACAATCTTCTCTTATCTAACCACTTCTTTAGAAAGACGGGAACATTACCTTTCCAATTATATGGCAGCGGAAATAAAGGAGCCCTTGTCCTCAAACGTCCATGTATTTACCTTGGTAATTGGTTTCAGTGCACACCCAGCTGAGGAAATGACCCACAAAAGACATTGTGTCACATAATGTGGCCTCTTGTTTTTCCAAGTCCTAATATATATATATATATATATATATATATAATATATATATATATATATATATATATATATGTTTGTTTGTTTTTTTCTCTGACCACTTTTAAGCTGCAGGAAGTGAGTTTGATTCACATTAACTTTTGATACAGGCTGTTGTTTTTTTCATCTAAAACTCCGTTCAGAACAAACCCTGATATCTTGTCTTGTGTTTTAGGTTGTGCAGCCGCAGAGGAACTGACCACAGAAAGAGCCCATTCTGCAGTGGGGAAGATGTTTGAGACCCTCCGAGGTTTGGGCCGCACGAGAGACCACCTCAAGCAGCTGCACTCCGTCTATACTGCAAGTGATGGAGTCCACCAGGTCACAGACACTACTTTCATTGTCCTAGTTTCATATATATATATATATATATATTTAAAGTATAGCGGGCAAATTAATAGAAGAGAAGTGCTTTCAAATGTCCAGATGTCAAAAAATCTGATTACATGTTTATAAAAATTGACAGGATTTTAAGAGAGGAAGACCATTTTAAATTTTAACTGTTTTTTTGAAACATAGCGATTGTCTATTTTAACTTAGGCTTATGCTATCCCCTTTCACCGTAAAAGCGAATATGACTCCGTTTCTCATTTTCAAAAAGTTGAATTACTGAATTGCACTGCTCGGTTGCAGACTTGCTCCATTTGAACGGCAATGAAAAGCAAGATGACTATTTTACATGACATGTCGGCGTCTGACTGACGCAAATGAGCAGCCGTCCTTCTGTCAGGAGAGATCTCCTTATTTCAGAAGAATTATGGCAATGACTTGATGTGAAAGGAGAACAGCGTGATATCTACCAGCTACTGCCTGTTCTCGAGAAACATCAGAAATCCATCAGCCTCTCCCAGCTGGGCTCCACTGAGGTGGATATTCGTTGATCCAAATGACTGAAAATCTTCAGCTTTCCTTTATGTGCAAAGGTCCCATTTTCTTGGAATTTCTGATATGAGGTTTTTATGAGAAGAGAAAGAGTCAAGTTGTTCAGGTGTGTATTTTTTATTATTGTTATTATTTTAGTACAGTTAAATGGGGCTGTCACCAGAAAGGCGGTAAAGGACTCTCCAGTGTCATTATTTTCTATGTTTGTCTGAATCAATCCCATCTCAAATGGCAAGACTCTTTCACGTTATGCTAGTATTTTTCCTCAGTCATATAGAAACCATTTTATTTTTGAGGAACTCTAAATTTCAACTTCTTTACATATCAGACTTTCAGTAAAACTCTTCATTTTTTAACTTTGGCTTTAGTTCTGACTCATTCATGCCTGGTGTGAGATTCTTACAGTACAGTAGCAATAGAAATTTGATCTAGCTGCTTTTATATTTGAAATAAAAATGCAACAATAAGTCTTCCTGGTGCTGAAATATGTTGGACATTTTCAGTGATCATAAAGCTCTTCATGTATTTCATGTTTTCTAAAAATGAACCGGATTGCTCTTCATTCAAACTCCCTAAAATCCTCTTTTTTCCCCGTTCGGATTCTTAGTTTGAGCTTCGGCAAGTTCTCTTCACTACATTTGGTTCTTTAAACGCATTGAGCTGCTGCCACCTGATAGGCTGAGTCGATGTTTGTGTTAGAAGGCAGTTAAACTGGTGTACCGAATGAAGCGGCCGGTGCCTGTATTTATTTATGTGGTGATTAGTGTTATATAAATAAATATGGAAGCTGCTTGGTCAGAAAGATTTCAAAGTAAACACACAACATTAATGAAGACATGGCAGCTCGTCTGTTCGCACTAATTATGCCCCCCGATCGTTGGAGTCATAATTCGAGTCAAGCTGGCAGAGAGCAGGAACTGGACGGCATTCCAAGAAAAGGAGAAGCTAAATTAGCTACAAGTGGTCAGAGCTGAGACAGAATGAGTCTGAACCATTAAACCAAGCTCTCCAGAGAGAGCTGGTGTAAGAACCAGGGTTCTTACACAGCAGCTTAATTCTCCTGCTGGTGTAAGAACCCCAGTTAGGTTTTAGCAAGAAAAGACAGAAGAGTTACATAAGTGAACCAAACCTTGATTGGATCAGCCATGTTGTTTTTTGAAGTAGGAATTTCGAGGTCAAAGCGCCATCTAAACTTTGTTGTTACTCATTGCTTTGTTGACACATCTGTGAGATGAGAGTCAGACAAACTGATCCTCGTTAAGCTACCGAGCGGCGTACACAGGAGAGCTAACCCACATGCCCCAAACTGTGTCCAATCTGAAAAATGATACCAAAAAAAAATAAATCTTGGCACATTTTTTGAGAACATATCAGAACAACAGGACTGATTATGTCTTGCACTGGATTCCTACCAAAGACATTCCATCCAGATATTTTTCATTGTTTGTATCAGTGTCAGACTTGGTTGTTATGAACCATTAGTTTTGTTTCTCCACCGAGACACTGCTAATCCCCCCCTGCTCCCTGCCGCTCCACAGCCGGTAGGAGAACTTGATACGCATTTTTATTTTTTTTGGTTTACGTGTTTTAACATGCATGTTTGTGTTTTCCGAGGAATATTCAGGCTGCGTCACAATGCTATGGGTAATTCTGATGTTGTTTTTGGTCCTGTGGGTGTTTCAGGCAGCGGTTTAATTGGACTGCTTTTAGCTTTGTGAATACCAGATGAAAAAGGAAAGGTGCGTGGCCGAAGGTTTGACCTGTTTACAACTGCTGTTGTGTATGCTCATGCAATGAGTCATTACTTTGTTTACTCCAAAATTGGCTTCTGGACACTGACCTATTGGTGAAGGCGTACATTAGTTTAAGTATCTCAGATCACAGAATTTCCCAAATCCTAATTTGGGGGCTTGTTGGAATAAGAAAGAAGTGGGGGGGGGGAACCCATCTGCGTGTATTAAGATTTATACGACTCTATATCTGTAGGCGTGCTTGAATCAACAGTTTGGTCAATGTGCTCACGTCCTTTTGTCTTAATGAGACGCGATTGAAAAAGGTCGGTCACGATTTAATTCAGATTTTGGCCCAGAGCCCCTGACGTGTCACCGAGCCTCAGCCCCATCTACAGTAAGAATGTGTCCAGTGTTCCAGGCCAGCATGTTTATATAAAGACGTCTGCTATTTCGAGCTCTGCCAGGTCTTATCTGGGTCTTTATTGTTCTCTGAGACAGCAAACTTCTCTCTCGTGAAAAGAAAAAAAGCCCACTTTGAATTCTTGATCCATCAGCTTTAAGGGCTATAAATGGTACATTTTGTCCTGAGTGGCTGGGTGAAAAAAAGGAACTGAGTCCTTATTAGTGGTGAAGGGTTTTTTACCATTCGGAGGAAACCCATTAAGAGCATGAGACGGCATTTAAAGGGAGGTTAGTTGAAGTTCTACTTTTCAGCTCTACCGAGGGCATGTATGCATTTAAACTGTGTTGGGCTGAATGAATGAAGAAATACAGAGAGAAGGTTTTTGAACCAAGGTGACTGAAAAAAATATGTAGAAGCTGCTTTTTGGGAATCCTTAAGACATAGTGTTTCAGGTAATGGTGTCAGTGCCTCTGACAATAATGAAAATAAAGTGTATGCTGTTTAAATTTTTGCTCATAAGTGTTGATTCTTCACCTTCCTCTCTGATTGGTTAAAGATCTGGATTTGGCATGTTTGGAGGAATTTTCATGTTTGCAGGGACTTTTAACCGTTTCTGATGTTTCCCTCTCTTAGTTGTGCTCTTGTGATTGTGCTTGTAGGGTTTTTTTTCCATATTTGCAAATGAAAAAAATATAAAAAGGAAGCAAATACCTAAAGAAGCAGATGGAAAGGATGGAAAAAAAAGAGTACTCATGTTACATTAAGGAACAATGAATGTAAATGTTATTTCGTAACACAGTGACCGCCAAAGACGGAAGCAGTGATTGTACTGTAGAGTTTGAGTGTTTGTTCATTGAGGATTATAAAATCAGGGGAAATGTCTAATCTGGTACCACGGAAACCAGCACCCTACCCAGTGATTTAAAAGTTCTGTTTAAGATAATCCAAGTCAGTCAGTGTGGATCCAGAGAACACTTCCTAAACCCATAAATGATATTAATCTGTCTCCAGAGGCTGTTGTTGTCGGTGTCTAAATGTTACTCACCTATTTTGAAAAGCAGGGTCAGTAGTAGGTCTTGTGATAGTCTATTGCGACGAAATATGCACTAAATGTTTGTAAATCCAGAAATATCCTTGCATTTCCGGCTTTGACGAAAGTAAAACAGGCTCTCGTTTCATATTTCGCTTCCCATTGTTGATTCCTAAAGTGACTTATCCGCCTCGTCGCCCACTCATAATTTCTGATTTTAGCCACATCGAATGGCTCGTTCTGTCTTGGCTGCAGAGGTGTTTAAGCTCCTCTTCCTGAAGTGACTCATAAGTCAACAGGCTGTTTGGCCGAGATGAGCTGTTTATAACTCTGTTGGGAGATATTTTTACACAACACTACGAAGCGGACGATGAGCACAGAGTAAAGAGGGGAAAGCGGACTTCACATTAACAGTGTACAGAGCGAGTTAATCAAGTGTTGTTTTGATCCGTAACCGTTCTTCCCGTGTGTTTGCATTCCTCCCAGGCCTCATACCGCCCGTTCCTGCGACAAATCCTGGAGGAAGTTTTCCACCCCGACCGACCCGAATGCCCCGACATCGAACACATGTCAGGAGGGCTCACGGACCTGCTGAAGACCGGGTTCAGCATGTTTATGAAGGTTAGACGCTGCAGTTTGAAGATCTGTGTGTGTTACACAAACCTTTTCAGGAACTATCAGGTCGTTGTTTTGTTTTTTTCTATTGTATGTTTTTTCACCACAGATATCACAAATAAGAGAATAAATAATTCTGTGTTTTCCTTCTATCTCTTTTAGCTAATAGCAAAGCTAAAGGATATGACAGTTTATCCCCAGCCTGCAGATAATATTTTCTTCTAATCTTAAATTATGCAATAAAACTTTCGGAGTTTCATTGCAAGCACAACATTTAAGCTCTGCTATTCCAGTGGGCGGAAATCTGCATCCCCAGATCGGAGCGACACTCACACATGAATCGGATCGTTATGTTGTTCTGCAGAAACGGCACGACCTTTAGACCCACCACACAAAAAAACCCAAAAACAGACGAGTTCTTTTCTCTCATAAAGGTTCTGGGAGAAAAAAAAACTTTCAGAAACCTCTTGTCAAAACACTCCTTGATAAGAGCTTTCTATAGGGCAAAAAGTGGCTTCCTTCCTGTACTGTAGGAACGTGACCTGGGTTGAGTTCATGAATGCATTGTGCAAAACAAAGTCCAGGATTAAACTCTTGCCATGGGACGTATTGTGAAAAAACGTGACACGTTCTACATGAACTCAGAAAAAACGCACCATACACGCCAGCCTTTTCACCGAGATCACACTTTATTAGACCAACAGCCACTTGTCTCCACATGGAGCCCTTTTCAAAACGCTGCAGCAGAAGGGCCTCCCAGCTGAGAAAAAGCCCCAAATGGTTATTGAACATTCATGTCCAAAGGCTTCTATGGTACCCTGTTTGGCTCCAGAAATACACTGATGATCATGTCAATGTTTGTGGTCCATTTGCAAATGGGGGTTGGGGAGTTTGCTCCACATTCACTGACTTACAAAAGTATCAATGCTGCTTGACGTTTTCATGTTCTTAGCATCACACGTAAATAAAACGTCAAAATGCATGTTTGGGGGTGGATTTTATGGTACGGACTAACACAACGCAGCAGAAAAGCTTAAAGTGGGAGAAGAAAGACGCGTGGTTTTTGCATATTTTAAAATATGAATAATCTAAAAGCTGTGTCTAACTTTTTAGATTTTGGTCATCGAAATGACCTGAATGGTTTGTTTGGCAGAAAGCCTTTCATTTCTCTGAAAACGTTGTTCAAACAGCGGCACACGGTGGTGTCGGCATCATGCTGTGGGACGCTGCGCTTCATCGGGGACAGAGTTCTCATGTGGAGATGATGGCGCGGCCGTTCACCCTCCCCACAACATAAAGATAAATCCATTTATCGGAAAAGTCCCATCGCAAACCCAATTGGAAATCTGTAGCAAAGCAAACTACTTACCTTTAAGAATTCATTTTTCAGATCTCTGCATGTAAAATCTTTGAAAACCTTCCACTTCATTCTGGTTTGCCACACTTAAATCACAATTCAGTACAGTACAGTTTGTATTTGTAATGTGAAGAAAGCCTTGTAGGTGAGAAACTCAGCCAGTAAGTCAATGCCATAACCGTTCAATACTCTATTCCCTTTTGTTGTTATTGTGCAAATATCGTACTGTTATTGTGAACATGTGATAACCTTGCGGGAGAAAAGAAACCAACTAAAGATGGAGGCGCTGGCGAAGGCTGCCGTCTTCGAGATTATAATTGTAGTTGAGAATAAAAGAAAATAAACCTCTGCTCAATAATTACACAAGTGAGCACAGCCGTGGCCTCGTTCCACACTTGTTAGGAAACTTGGCGTGAAAAGTTGCAACTCAGAGCAACCAGGGCTATAAATCTGAACTCGAGGCGCGCGCCCCCTTCACGCAGTAAAACACCGCCGTAAAAATCTCTATTTTTACCCAAAGCGAACGCAGTTTATGCGGGTGAAGGCCGGACCCCGCAGTCTGAGCCCCGCCGACGGCCTGCGCGGCGTCTGCGACCACAACTGTTTGTGCGCCTGCTGTGCCGTGTTTAGTCTCTGTTGGAACAAAGTCCCACTCTGTCCGGGAGTCTGACTCCGACGGCTTCGCTTCGGCTGGTGTGTGTTTAGCATTAAAGGCTTCGGCGAAAGGTCAGCTGAGTCTCGACGCGCTGTTTGGACAGCGCCGTTATTGATGACAAACCGCCAGACGTGTTTGGATCTCAGATGAGATCGTCTCAAGCTACCAGTGGAAGGTGGATGAGCTGTGATCCAGAAGATAACAGCAGCACACAAACATGAGGGTCTGCTGCTGAAGAAGAAAGAATCTGTCGGGGTTCTAAAAAGCTCTTTTGGCTGCAACTTGATGTCCTTTCATGCTTTCTGTTTGTTATATGACATTCAGCTGGACAAGATGAAGTCGCTGTCATTGCATTTAAAAACAGAAGCAGGAAGCTCTTAAATTAATCTGCAAGACTTTCCTGAAGAGCAAGACCATGAAGCATGTTTTTTTGTGTGTGTTTTTTTCCCCCCGGCTCACAGTCCCTCCCTCTGTTTACCCCATGGCAGCACACATGGCTCACACTGTGTGTCTGTGGATGCACACAGGCGGTGCTGTGCTCTCACGTGGAGCTGGCGTGGCGCTTGGTGTCAAACTGTAAAACAACACAAGCAGGATAAGCCTAAATAATATTCGCTCACACCCTCTTATTTTTTCCCTCTGAGGAACACGTTAAGCACATCCATGACACTCCTCCGCCGCGCCGCCTGCCGCTTCACGTGTTCAGCCACCCTCGCCACGGATCCACCCCCTCTGCAGCCCTGATTGCTCGGTTAGCATTCGCAGGCTTCTCCCCGCTGCCGCAAGCCAACCAATCGCGCCTCACCTTTCTGACCCAGCAGCCAATAAGGTTCGCAGAAACACCAGACCCTGGTTTGCTGCCAAAGGACTTCTTGGAAAGAGGGTTTCCTCTGTATGTGTGTGTGTGTGTTTGTATAAGCAGGTGCTCACACCTGCCTTCATTCCCACGTGTCAGCCATCATGACACCGGTGTGCGTGTGTGGTGAGCTTTGTCTGCAGCCACACAGAAAGCAAAGCGTACAATCACGGTTGCGACCGTATCGCAGGCGTCCAGCTGGGCCCGTTCCCCCGAGCAGCCGCTGAGACAGAGCAGCAAACGAGGATGTTCACCAAATAAACGTGGGTCTGAAATAGGAACCTGAGCCAGCAACTTCAAAAACAGTTGTCCTGATTTGCAGGTGAGCCGTCCACGTCCCAGAGACAACCCTCTGCTCTTCCTCTTCCTGGTCGGTGGGGTCACGCCGTCGGAGCTCCGCCTCGTCAAGGACACGGTCGCCGCTCTCAAACCAGGGGCGCAGGTCAGTGAGGCGACAGCTGTGGAGTAACGTCAGGTTCCTGGTGGAAGTCCTTTTGCTCGTAGGCCGGTGACATCGTATCATTTAGCAGCGTGTGTCCACTTTATGATCTAGTACGTTATTTAAGAAACGGTTGTTTTTATTAAAGCCACCTTTTTTATGAATTTCTAGAGAAATTTACACATAGCTACTGTCTACAATCAAACATGGAGAACCAGCATCTATTTAATTTTTTTATTTTGTCATCACGTGACTATTTAATCTTGTATATTTTATCTGGTTTGATTTTCCACGGGTTCCTAGAGCTTTAGGAGGAGAAACTGGCCCACAGAATGACACATCCTCCGCCGTGCTTCATTCTGGGAATGATCATGTAGGGTCGACCCACCTGGAGAGTTTACTTTGGGACACTTTGAGAATCTCCAGTGACCAAAGTCCCCGTGGAGTTTAGTGTGTTTACATTTGTGACGGAAGGAGAGAAAATTCATCTTTGTCTAGATGAAGTCCTTTGGTTGTCATGGTGCCTTGCTGAATCCTCCATGTTACTCTTTGCTGTTCTTACCTTTTTCCTGGAACTGTTCCGATACCTTTGCCACCTCTGATTTAGTAAAGAAACAATCATTTGCTTATTTGAATCTTTTACACACGTACCATAGACCCAACAAGTAGGGATATCTCTCTAATTACACTGGATTGGTGGGATTATTGGTTTGTTTTCAGATAATTTTGATATTTTAATTGCACACGTTCTAATGCGCAGACACTTTAGGATGGACAAATATACAAGAAGGTGTGGGGAATAGAAAACGGCATGTAGAATGTGTTGAGAATTGGAAAATACACCCAACCATATGAAGTTCTGTCATACTTCTTCTTTATCTATGACAAAAGAAAGCCAGACATGCAGTTTGTTCCCATTTTTGCAAAGATCTGTCAAAGGCAAACACAATTTATTTCCTTCACCAGATTTAATGACCGACGGAATGTTTTCCAAAGGCGAGAATTGTTACATTTTGCCCCGTAACGACTATAATCGCTGTCATTCCCATTCAGTTGAGGCCGAGACGATTCATCTCTTTAGCCTTGAAGATTGACGGTACAGAAGCTGCACGATGGCTCATAAGCGCTGACCTAAATACACAAGTGGCTGAGATCAGGTGCGAAGGTGAGAGAGCGCTGCCTGATCTGCCCACGTGTTGACGCAGTCATCACACGGCTGCCTGTTTGCTCTGGCAGGGCGATCTAAATGCCTGATACATATGCAGTCCACACTGACACACAGAACATGCAGATAAATGCAGTTGGTCTGCTTGAGAGAACTGTGAGGAAGGAGGGGCGTAAAAAGAAAAGGGACATCAAGCTGGGTAATGTAGGGTTTTCATAATGAAAAGGCTTTGAGAAATTAGTCCAGAGGCGATGAAAGGCTCGACAACGATCAAAGCCGCCCATGTTGTAATCAAGAGAAGTGAATAAAGATGAGGTTATACAATAACCTGCTGGGGCCACACACACACACCGCACCCTACCAGATCCATGTGTAACACACTGCCTACATGTAAACACATGTCTGCAGGCCAGATGTTCCAGATTTTTTTTTTTTTTTTTTTTTTTTTGCTCCTGCAAACGTTCCTTGCTTCTGCCATAACCGCCAATTTTTGGGCTGCTGACCCGGAGTTAAAGCATCACTGCTGAGGAGAAACAGAGCCGCTCTGTTGCGTAAGGAGAGCCCCGCCCGTCCTCATCCTAACTATACAGGACCTGGAGAGTGTGTGCACACACACACACGCAAGCAGCCGACGCTTCAGCCTTCTGCTTTGCCGACACCCGATTGGCTGCTCTGCGTCACAATAATCACTGATTCCACAGCACCAGATACCGAGTTTTACCGGTGAAGATTAAACCGGGTTACACAAACCCAGAATAGGCCTCATATTTTAGATTCTCTGCTTTCCTTATATTGCATGAGCGAAAGAGGAACGATTTTTAGTTATCGGGTGAAGAGCTTCTTGCCTTCTTAGGCCGTGTTCACGCAGTCGAGGCCAAGGCTTCTGGAGCAGTGCAGACGATACGCTTTTCTTTTTCGCATGATGAATTCCAGCTTTTCTTCGTCTCAACATCCACATGCCAAATATTCAAATCTAAAAACCGAGGGACTTTTGGGAGGTCGGCGGCAAAATCTCAAAATTTGACCATTAGAAACTCAACATTAGATGTGATTTAGCTTTTAACCCCAACAAGTTACAAAGCGGAGTTTGTATAATAGCAAATCCCGTGCAACCAGTAAATAAAATCCAATAAAATCTCTGATTGACTTTGGACACAGAGAGGCTGAAAATTGTTTGTAAATCCGTCAAGGTTGTGATTCACTCACTACAAACCTGCGTTATGTGAAAGTTCTTGTAGTTAAAAAGTGAATAAATAAAACTTTACCTTGCACTGACACGGCCTCTCTCGTTTATTCAGCGGTTGCCGAGCTTTCGGGTTTTTGTCTTCGTGTTGTTAGCGCCTGTGTTTTGAGTGCCAGGCCCTCGGCCCCCTGCAGTGTTGACAGGGGAATGTTAAAGGTCAGTGTGAGCGGTTTGCTTCTTTACATGAAAATGGAAAACTAAAAATGAATGAACAAACAAACTGCCCAGATGGAGTTGCAGGCAGTTTCCATGAATCCTAAAGCTTCTTTCACACATCCTTCGTCGCACGTGAAAGTCGGAGTAAGCATCATGTTATGTGCGGACGCCATGGTGTGAGGTTTCTGTCCCGAACTTTGACAAAAAATAAAAGTAAAAATCTGATGTCACCTTCTAACAAATGATTTTCAAACCTAAAAATTAAATTAAATAAATTTTTTTTCTTCTTTTTGCCCCATTCCAGGTACTGGTTCTCTCCACCCGCTTACTAAGGCCGGCGGATATCCCCGAGCTGCTCTTCAGCACCGACAGACTGCGGCCGGATATCGGCTTCTGAAAGGCCGGCGTGAGGAACGAACCCCACCGGCGTACGTTTGGACAATCAGGTGTCGAGCTCAAGTAGTTCGATTGTATACAAATTCTGAGGGATTAAAAAAAAAAAAAACACATTCCTGCTCTGTAGCAATCTGACTCAAACGCATCAGCATATTAAATCTGACAATAAAGACGTTTGCCTTCCAGACAGCCACAAAATGTTGTGCTGCGTTTTGGTTCACATGCATTCAAATAAAACCTCAGACGTTTGTGGTGTGTTCATCATGAAGGTGGGAAAAGCGACGCTGTGCCGCGGCTGGGGGAACAGGAACTCCGTCAGCATCATCGCCTCGTCACGTCATGACACAAAAAAAAACAAAAGCACAACAAATCACTCGACACTGATGTTTGCTCACACCTACGCTGCAGATTCTCTTGACTGGTTTCATTCTCTCCGGCATGGCCGACCTCGGCTGAAGCTCAGTCGTCTCATCCACCTGCACATAACAAGAGGCGGAGGCTCTCTGGTTCACTCAGGTACTTTTCAACAGATTCGGACAAGAATTTTCTGATTAACCATCTGAAGGGAGAAGTCAAGGTTGTTTCTGTGAAAAGTGTTGTGGAAAAAAAAATCATCTTTGCTCCTTCATTTAGTTTAAAGCCGCACTCTAAAGGATTAACTAGGGTTTATAATCCATTTATTAAATGTCTTTAGGTCTGTTTTTCATGCATTATTGTAAATCCATTAAAAAGAAGCAAAATGTATAAAAGACAACAGGAGACTTTTGTATGGAAAATACCTCAAATGATTAAAGTTTTAACTTTATCAGAGTCAAACAAAACAAAAACCTGTGACAATTTTTTGTGAAATATGGCTCAAATTTTAGCTCAGGCTGCATTTTTTTTATTTTTTTAAATTTTACGCCGCTTTTTGCTGCACTCTGGTTAGACTCTGTATCCCTGGATTTTGGCCGTTTCTCCTCATCCTTTTAGCTCGTAGCTGTGCGTTAAATAATGGCATTCCTTCTTAGTCATGCCTCTCACAAAATCTCTAAGTTTTGATATTAAAGAGTGAAATCAACACATAAAAATGTCCTGTTTGAAGTTGATCTGTGACAGTAAAGCGGGCACATCTAAAGGTAAAAGAAGGCATTAAAATGTGCAGGAGAAGCCAAAGTTTAATTGGGTGTATATATATATGGGATACCTCCATTTTTATTTATTTATACAGAGTACTTAAGTGGTCTGGCACTGCAGCCACATCAAGATGGAGTCATGGCTGTGTTGTCTTCATGTGATTCATAGCTGCAAAGGCCTTTCAGAAGAGCTGCTCCATTCATATTCATGAGCCAGACAAGCTTTTTTTTTTTTTTCATTCCCCTTCACAGCCAAGAAAAAAGAAAAAAAAAAGGGAAACATGAACACGCGTCTCATTTTAACATTTTATTGTGGACAAAGTGTAACAAATAAATAAACAGGACCTGTGGACTGGTCTTTTGTTCTTTAATATAAAGTGCATCAGTGCTACATCCTGTGTCTGCTGCAACACTTCAACCTCCCACCGCAGTGACGATCCTTGAAGCTGAACGACGAGCATGTGAACCGGAGATGTTGACATTACAGGCTGAGCATGCACAGCTCCTCAGAGTCCTTGCTGAATGGGAGCCGCCAACAGAGCCGTGTAGAGGCAACGAGTAGGAAAAATAAAAATCTGCCACAATGGGCTCAGCTAAAAATAAGCCATCCTTCAGCTGTTGCCAGGAGAAGCTGGATTTTTTTTTTTAGTTCAACCGATTCGCAAAGTCTGGTTGAAGCCGCCATCCCAGCCGCCCTCGTGTCCTCGCCCGTCTCTTTCTAAGCAGATAAGCTTCCTCCCTGCCATCTGACACCAGGCCACTCTTCTTCAAGAGGATAGCGCCTCTCTTTTTTATTTTACCCGTTCATCTCACCTGCCTGCCTCTGTCCATCAGACCAATTCAGAACTTTAAGAACGGAGAGTACGTCTCCCGTTGTCTTCAATCCGCTCACAGTTCTCCTCTCACCGAGGTCACAGTCCTGACTTTGGCAGACAGCGCCTGTTTGAATCGCCTCTTCAGATCTTGCATGTTGGGGGACTTTGGCCGGGGGATGAGGGGCGAGCGCCTCTTCTCTGTGGCGCCGCTGGCCGACGGAGGCGGCGTCGGCTGCTGCTGCTGCTGCTGCTTGGCGAGCTGGCGGCACAGTCTGTGGAAGGCGCCGTGCACCTGGTTGTAGTCCTCGCTGGCGGATACCTCATAGAAGGAGCAGCCCAACGTCCCTGCCAGCAAGGGCCCCTGCTGGGAGTCGACGCGCCTCAGGTGCAGCAGGTCGGCCTTGTTGGCGAGCAGGATCACCGGGGGCGCGCCGGCACCGCCGCTACGGACCACCAGCTGGTACAGCTGGTTGATCAGCTCGAAGCTGCGGCAGTCAGTCACCGAGTACACCAGCACCACGGCGTCTGCCCACTGGATGGAGCAGCTCACGTGGTCGGGGAGACTGATACCGTTATCAGTCATCTGAGAACAAGAAGGGAAGACAAAATGATTAGGTCACAACTTCCTCTGGGGTCCGGAGGTCAAAAGTTCTCAACTTCTATAATGACAGGAACGCCGACTCCAGAGAGGTGTGGATGACTGCGGAAACTGCTGGATTTGGATCAGGGTATTATTTGCAGCCTACCCAGTCAGCCATTACCCGAAATGGTAGATTACACAGCCTGAAATGAGGGGGTTGAAATCTGCAGCCCGTTTGGTTAAAGAACCGTATCCCAGTATCAAACTCTCATCCGGAAAGTGAACCGCCGTCTTTCTAGATCAGATTTAGGCGACTAATGTCTCATTTCTTCTTGTGGCTCTGTTAGTATTTTTCAGAATGCTTTTTACTGAGCATCACTTATGGATGCCTGTGTGTTTCCAGCGCCAGAGGAACTCATCATTTCCTCTGGACCGATAAAGTACCGACACATCAGAACTGTGGACCCACCTCTGCACCCGGAGTGTCCTGGACCTGGATGGTCACCTGATCTCCATCCACCTGCACTTCTCTGGAGTACAGATTACCTGCGCGCGCACACAAAACAGAAAACAGGTGAAAAGTAGCTCGAGAGGGGTTTTTTCCTCATTCATTTCCTAACGCAGTTTTTTTTAAGCTTACCTGCATTTCGCTCATAGTCTCCGATGAACCGCCTCGTTAAGAATCTCACCACGAGCGCTACGAACAAACAAAAGTGACAAAATAATCAGACTCGAGCTCATCGCTGCTGCTACTACTGCCGCGCATGCGCGTTATCGGCCGTCTTACCTGTCTTCCCCACGCCGCTGCCTCCGATAACAGCTATTTTAATGACCCGGTTCAGGACGGAGCATTCAGGCGCGGCGCACTCCGCGATGGTCGACATGTTCTGAATGAGCCGCATTGCTCTTCTTCCCGGTGGTTCAACTCCGACAAGAACAGAGGGTGGAGAGGGAATATCCCGAAAGAGCAAAAAGAACAAGGTTCAAACTCGTCTTGGAGGTGTAGAGGGTCCAGTGTCTCTGCCGAGGAGACCGAGTGAATCCCGAAGCTCGACTGCTGCTGCTGAGGAGCCGCTCGCTGCTTTTAAGGCTCCCCGCTGCCGCTCGCTTCTGATTGGCTGCTCCCCATCCTGTGTGCTCGCGCTTGCCCCGCCCACACGTGGATGAACGACAGGTCGGTTCCTCAGGAAGAGCTGCTGCTGCAGCAGGTGGGAGCCAACAAAACGGGCTTTCTTTAGGGGGGAAAAAATAGCCGCCGCAGCCGGTTGGGATAGGTGGTGGTTTTTTTGTTGTTGTTTTTGTTTGGGTTTTTTTCCTAGTGTACAGAGACGCGAGCTCTCGTGGAAATGCACCGAATCGAGGAAAAACATGTTTCAGATGCTATCAGCCGAGAGAGGTCAAATCTGTCTTTTGACCTGCTGATTCGGGTCAACTAAAATAATCACATTGTACCTTTGACACGAGATTGAACTTGGTTCTTGTAAGCAAAAGATGGCAGAATGTCGATTTTAGACTTTAACCAGGTGACCCGATCACAGTCACACCTTCGTCTTTTAAGAATTGAGAGACTGACGAAAAGAAATTGAGTCAAATACACCAGCGATATTTAATAGCCATATCTTATGAACAAAGAACGGAAGTAAGAATATTTGGTATTGACCTGGTTTATTTTTTTCAATATACAAAGAAGTAGTTGAAAGGAGGGATGCACCGATTTGTCAGGGCCGATTTCCTTAATTTTGCGGAGATCGGCTGACGCTTATATGTGAAGCCGATCCTGTCTAAAGAATCTCCCAATCAGCAGCAGCAGCCGAATGACTCAACTGTTACTGCTCAAAGGGACGACTAACTGCATCACTTATTTTAAAATCTTAAATCAGCGTTGGTCTGCACGATCCAGACAAGCGTCCTCCTTCTTTGTTCACCTTTGCTTGAGAAAATGAATTGAGCACAACACCTGCAATTCCCAAACCCCGGGATCTTTTCTGCACGACTTTCCCCTCTTCTTTCTCTCCTCGTTTCCTACCAGATTGCTCCGAATGAAGGTCACTAGAGCAGGAGGAATCTTGCTTAACTTTGGACCAAAAGTTTCATTTGACTGTAGGAACAGATGAATAGTGATGTTCTGATGTGATTCACAGGGATGTGCCAAGAAAGCATTTGTTTCTCTGACAAACTCCAAACAACTTACTGGAAAAATATAGCTTGATGATTATTTATACCAAAACCCGCAGCTCGTGTCACAGTTTGAGGGAAGGTAAACCTTCAACTCAACTCTGACGTTGCCAAGATTCACGGCGCAAGTTCAAAAGGATAAAACTGAACAACTTTCAGACTTCCTTTGAGTCGTCTTCCCTCAGTACAAACATCAACACCAAAGAGTGTTTTTGCGGCCACCACATGGAAGTGCTTAGGTTTTCAATTCCCCCACCGGCAGGTCAAGCTAAAATCCTCTGGCCATCATTTAGCTCCTTCAACACAGGTATAAATTTCAGATATGGCCACAATAATTTTTGTATCCCTAAAATTCAGCAAATAGTTTTATAATCGAACTCTAACGTTGCATGTCGTTTGCGTCACCATTGTAGGCAAACGTGTTTTTCTCCAGATCCAGCAGTTTGAATTCAGTTTTTCAGTGCTGGGTGTCAGCAGGTGACTTGTTGGGGCATGCCCCTTGATTTGTCCTCGCCGGGGGTTGAAAGCTGCTGGTGTTGCCCCAAGAAGCTGCACAAATAGCAATACCTTAAGAGAAGTCATGCAAACAATTATGTTGCCTGGCATTAAAAAGAAGATCTGAGAGGCAATTCGGAAGCAATGTCACCTTTCCATAAGCTTATCATTTCTGTGTTTTGCCAAATACTTTGAGCAGCTCAAGGATGTCACTGTTTTCTCCAACTTTCTTTTTCCTCCTCTGCCACATTACCCCCAAAAGCCTCCCCCCTCCTTCCTCCTTCCTGTCTTTCATTTGTGCTCTGAGGTATTTTGGCATCCAGTCCTGTGATTGCAGTCTGGTATGTATTTTTGATAAGGGCACTGATGACAGGCGGCGGTGCTGAAATATGAAATTAGTGTTCAGGAGAAGCCGTGGCTGCAGGGTGGTGCACCCACGCAGATATCCCTCTGACCACATCACAGCCAGCTCCACCCCGGCGGTTCTGGGCGGTGAGGCCGGCTTCTCTTGTTAATGGCGAATAAACACATTCTTGCATTTGATGACACGCTGGATTCCCTGCGGTTCGCCCGCAGCACAAGGCAGGATCGGGTCTGTTGTTGGATGACTGATGTGAATGAGGGAGTCACAGCTTCAGCATCTTTGTGACAGAAAGATTAAAGGCGCTACGATCGTTCCCTCCTCTTGCAGCCAGGCGAGAAGGCTAATGAGGGCAGATCATAAAGGGGAAGGAGGCGTCTTCATGGAGGGCAGCAGACTTACTCGCACACCGAGGTCAGAGGAGTTGCTGGTCAACACAGTGACTCAGACAACTAATTTGGTGACGCATTTCTAATGTCTGGCGAACATGATGGTGGGTCCCGTAAACTCCCACTTCCACTGTGCCTTCGGGCTGCAGGATGACTGTTAAGTCTTTAAGCAAAGAAGCTAGGGAGGGTTGCGACTTACACAGAGGTGGCAGGTGGTGGTTCAGACAATTCAGGATCTATCTCAAGCTGGACTTTTAACAAAATCCTGTCAGTGTTTATTTTTATTTCAATGTGCAGGTTTTTATTTCTCAGACTTTATTTCACCTATCTACCGACCCACCTTTACATCCTCCACATCCTACCAACCTATCTAAGGTCCTCCCTACGATCCGTCAAGCCCAGTCCATCCATCATGTCAATTGTCCGTCCTTGTCTGTTCCCCATTTCAAACTGCTCTATCTTCAACAGATTTGGTGTGAAATTTTCCCAGCAAATGGCCCGAAGAGGCTTGTGAAGCTCATAAAAATGTAGCATTTTTAGAGTTGTAGTTCAGCCATTTTGCCTTCGGTGGAGCACCCAGGTTCATTTACCAATTCCAAAACCCCTCAGTGTGAATTACCTTGAGAAATAACAAGATTTCATTAAGTATAAAACAGGCTTTTAATGCTGAAAATGATCAAAAGCCTTGCAAGTCATACAAATGGAACAGAAACATGGTAATATTCACCATCCATCTTTTCATTTTTTTTGACACGTGAGTGAGAACTGGTTCCCTGGGCTGGCCTCATCTTCTGCAGTGGAGCTGAAAATAAAGCATGCAGTCACCACTTGCCCCAAGGGCTTAAACCTGCAACAAGAGGGTCATTTGGGATATCAGTGAAGCATGGGGCAGTTTAAAGACTGCCCCATGTTGTTTACCCAGGGTAAACAACCTGGGCAACAGTCATGCGTTCATCAGATTCTTATCATCATCCTCCCTGCCTTTAATCTTTGTCAGCAAAGGTGATTATTTGGATCCGGGTATTTTCACAGAGCCTTGCTACTACATTTTGATTACCTCAAAGAGGCGCCCAATTGCAAAAAAAAAAGCATCTGTTTTGTGTTTCATCCTGTTTTTCTTCCTGACTCGGCTGCAGATATCCACACATCTGTTCTCATGGAACAACCCACCTCTAACATGTTTACATAGCCTGCATGGCACATTTGCATCTCCACTGGCCAAATGGACATGGAATTGGCCTGCCAGCACCAAGCAGCTCCGTCCCACACAAAGGAAGAGAGGTTGATTTTTCTGTCTTATTGAAACGTAAACCTTCCAGCATGCCCGAGCATTTGCATGCCTCTGAATGGTCTGAGCAGTGGGGGGACGGCCGCAGTGGTTCCAGCTGCTTGTGTGTGCTGCGGTGTGGGTTTTGAATGACAATGTCCCCCCCCCCAGCCCAACTTCATTCAGATCACACAGCCTCCTCCCTCTGACGGATTGCCACCACCGAGCTTTATGACTAGACTTTGCTATTTACCGAGTCAATTGGAAATATTTAAGCCGTTATGCGGCTTTAGAGATCTTGACATTGCACAGCTTGTCCCTCCCGTCACTAGAAGTTTGGGTTCTTCCCGTTCTGCGTCTGTGCCGACACGTTGAGTCCGTGCGTTCAGAAGAGAGCGAGAAGCAGCGTCGGGGTTTTGCAGTAATAACGTAGGATAAGCGTGTTTTGGTCTGCCGCTCATGTGACTGTAGCCATGTGTATTTAAAGTAAGACCTTAAACTCCGGGATTATCCCGTTGTTGCTGATTCAGGGATTTTTCCTCCTGTTTTCGTTTGATGGAGCCAGACTTAGAACTTGCTGCACGTTTGCCGTGTTTTCCGAACGTAAACACAAATACGGCGCAGCCGTCGCTGCAGAAGACGCATCGCAGCAAGACGAGGACAGGCAAGAGTGATTCACTTCTTCTCTTTTTTTTTTTTTTTTTTTTTTTTTTTTTTTTTTGCACAGCGCCATCAACAGATTTTCTGCAGAACCCCTGACTTTAATCGGATCATGTTTACAAATCCAAGATACACAAAACCTTGCAAAGGGAGTCGCGCTCCTTTAGCGTTCCCTCACCGACTGTTACGTCGTTGCTGTCATCATCACCATGTTTAATGCTTGCTTTGGGATGATGCCTTGAAAAGTGCTTACGTTTCCATGACTATTTTTGTCCTTGGTCTCCATGGCGATATTTGTTCTGAGGCCTTCACAGACCACCTGCATTTATCTTGAGATGAAATGATTAACTCTTTTTAGTAATTTGGCGTTTCTTTCACGCCTGCTGTTACCGCTCCCCAGATTAAAGGGGAGCGCTCAGTACAAAAACATGCCACACACTTCAGATTTTTATTTGTGAATGCAGATCTTGCTGCTTTTCTCCACTAGAGGACATGAGGGTCCTTTAACAGTTGTCCTGTCACCAAATTTTCCCAACAGAGATCCCCCGGGCTTCCTGGCCGCTGCTCTTGCAAATCTTCCCACGGTGGGTCGAACTCAGACACCTTCAAAGCTTGGGTCACTGCAAGTAAATTATGCTTTAACCCTCTCCTGCCACTTTTTTTTTTAAGAATTTGATTTGAAAAACCAGCAGGCTTTATGCTTTCCAAGTCGCAATTGTGCGTCA